TCTTCCTACGGATGTCCCGGTCCTCAAACACTCTCTGCTTCGTTCAGAAAAATGCTGCGCTCGCAGAGCTCAGGTGGTGTTGAATTTCGGTGTCAATGTTGACTTTTGTGGAGAGGTGGCTGCCAAGAGAGCAGAAATGGTCAACATTTTCTAATGTTACATCATTAAGCTGTATTTCTGGCATTGGAGAGGGATTGGCTGGTGACTGCTGGAAGAGTCAAAGGAATTATAAGCAGGCAAAATAAGTAATGCACACCTTTTTTGGTCAAAATATGAAGAGTGCACTATTTACCACTGCACATTACCTTTGGCAGCAAATACTTTTTTTTCATTTCAGGGTTTTGAAAATTGAGGTGCGCTGCACCACCAGGCCCATTGGTGGTGCAGTGGATTAAACCCCTGATCTGCTGAACTTGCTGACCAAAAGGTCGGCAGTTGAAATCTGCGGTGAGCTCCCGTCATTAGCCCCAGCTTCTTCTAACCTAGCAGTTCAAAAACATGCAAATGTGAGTAGATCAATAGATACCTTGGGAAGTCTGACTTGGCCACGGTAGTCCACGCTCTGGTTACATCCCGCATAGATTACTGCAACGCGCTCTACGTGGGGTTGCCTTTGAAGACGGCCCAGAAGCTTTAAATGGTCCAGCATGCAGCAGCCAGGTTGCTAACAGGAGCAGCTCTCAGGGAGCACACAACTCCTCTGCTACATCAGCTCCACTGGCTGCCAGTTTGCTACCGGGCTCAATTCAGAGTGCTGGCTTTAGCCTATAAAGCCCTAAACGGTTCCGGCCCAGCCTACCTATCCGAACACATCTCTTCCTATGAACCCTCCAGGAAGTTAAGATCATCTGAGGAGGACCTGCTCTCAATCCCGTCTGCTTCGCAAGCACGCTTGGCGGGGACGAGGGACAGGGCCTTCTCTGTGGTGGCCCCTCGGCTGTGGAACTCCCTGCCTAGGGAGCCCCCTCCCTCCTGATTTTTTGGAAGAGAGTAAAAACCTGGCTCTTCGAGCAAGCATTCGGAACCCCGGAATAGATAGTCAAGCTTGAGATGGAGAATGACCCAGGAACGGCCAAGACGATGAAACGGATGAGGATTGGAATGAGAGGAAATAGCTCTTTTTAAATTGTTATTGCACTGTCTTTTTGTCTTTTTTGTCTAAATGCACTTAATTGTTTTGCTATTGTATTGTATTGATGGCATCGAATTGTGCCAATATGTAGACCGCCCTGAGTCGCCTGCGGGCTGATATGGGCGGGATATAAGTGATGTAAATAAATAAATAAATAAATAATACTGCTCCAGTGGGAAGGTAACGGTGCTCCATGCAGTCATGCTGGCCACATGACCTTGGAGGTATATAGAACAGCGCTCCATGCAGTCATGCCGGCCACATGACCTTGGAAGTGTCTACGGACAACACTGGCTCTTCAGCTTAGAAATGAAGATGAGCACCACCCCCCAGGGTCGGGCATGACTGAACTTAATGTCAAGGGAAAACCTTTACTTTATTATCATCAAGTTTGCAGACGACACCAAATTGGGAGGGATAGCCAATTCTCCAGAGGACAGGAGCAGGATTCAAAACGATCTTGACAGATTAGAGAGATGGGCCAAAACTTAACAAAATGAAGTTCAACAGTGACAAATGCAATATACTCCACTTTGGCAGGAAAAACGAAATGCAAAGATACAGAATGGGGGATGCCTGGCTCGAGAGCAGTACGTGTGAAAAAGATCTTGGAGTCCTCGTGGACAACAAGTTAAACATGAGCCAACAATGTGATGTGGCGGCAAAAAAAGCCAATGGGATTTTGGCCTGCATCAATAGGAGCATAGTGTCTAGATCTAGGGAAGTCATGCTATCCCTCTATTCTGCTTTGGTTAGACCACACCTGGAATATTGTGTCCAATTCTGGGCACCACAATTCAAGAGAGATATTGATAAGCTGGAATGTGTCCAGAGGAGAGCGACTAAAATGATAAAAGGTCTGGAGAACAAGCCCTATGAGAAGCGGCTTAAGGAGCTGGGCATGTTTAGCCTGAAGAAGAGAAGGCTGAGGGGGGATATGATAGCCATGTATAAAGGAGGAAGCAAGCTTGTTTTTTGCTTCCCTGGAGACTAGGACGTGGAACAATGGCTTCAAACTACAAGAGAGGAGATTCCATCTGAACATGAGGAAGAACTTTCTGACTGTGAGAGCCGATTCAGCAGTGGAACTCTCTGCCCCGGAGTGTGGTGGAGGCTCCTTCTTTGGAAGCTTTTAAACAGAGGCTGGATGGCCATCTGTCAGGGGTGATTTGAATGCAATATTCCTGCTTCTTGGCAGGGGGTTGGACTGGATGGCCCATGAGGTCTCTTCCAACTCTTTGATTCTATGATTCTATTAGATAGATGGTGCGTTAGACTTAAGACAATACAGGTAGTTATTTTCACTATTGGGCCCCTTGAAGTCTTGTCCTCCTGTCCAGGAAGGAAAGAAGGGAAGGGAGAAGATGGAAAACATCAACACCTGGATTGTTGCTGATGGTGTTTATAACTGCAAGCATGATGCAGTGCAGGGTTTTTTTGAGAGAATAGACTCTTTTGGTCTGATTTAAACTGATTCACTGAAGGGGATGTTCCACAGCGAACAGTAGGAATATGGTAGGTTGAACTGTATGGAACTTTAATGTTCCATACAGTTCAATAGGAGGGCAAAGTGGTTGTTTAGGTTTAGATCTATTGATCCAGTTTCATACCCTTTGGCCTGAGTGTTCTGACCAGAATAGACCCATTAAAACAATGGGATTGACTTGTGTGTTGACTCACGGTTCAATAATGGCTCCAGTGGGAACAAAATATTCTGGCAAAAGCTTTGTTTGTGTGTGCCAGGGGCTAATGGTTTCGGAAAAAGAAATGGACACATTTGTAGGTTTTCCCATTGGTCCACAATGGGAAAATAGCATTAAGATAGCCCTCCTAAACTGATCATTCAAAGTGCTGGCTTTAGCCGATAAAGCTCTAGGTCAGTGTTTCTAAACCTTCCAGATGCCGCGACCCCTTAATACAGTTCCTCATGTTGTGGTGACCCCCAACCATAAAATTATTTTTGTTGCTACTTCATAACTGTAATTTTTATACTGTTATGAATCATAATGTAAATATTTGATATGCATGCTGCATTTTCAATAACTGGACCAAATTTGGCACAAATACCCGATACACCCATATTTGAGTACTGGTGGGGTTGGGGAGAGGACTGATTTTGTCATTTGGGAGTTGTAGTTTCTGGGATTTATAGTCAACCTACAATCAAAGAGCTATTTGAACTCCACCAACAATGGAATGGAACCAAATTTGGCACATAGAGCTCCCATGACCAACAGAAAATGCTGGAAGGGTTTGGTGGGCATTGACCTTGAGGTTTGGAGTTGTAGTTCACCTACATCCAGAGAGCACTGTGGATTCAAACAATGATGGATCTGAATCAAACTTGGGACAGATACTCAATATGGCCAAATGTGAACACTGGTGGAGTTTGGGGAAAACAGACCTTGACATTTGGGAGTTGTAGTTGCTGGGATTTATAGTTTGCCTACAATCAAAGTGCATTCTCAATTCCACCAATGATAGAATTGGACCAAACTTCCCACACGGAACCCCCATGACCAATAGAAAATACTGTGTTTTCTGATGGTCTTTGGTGACACTCCCTCATGACCCACAGGTTGAGAAACACTGCCCTAAACGGTTCCAGACCAGCTTACCTGTCCAAATGTATCTCCTCCTATGAACCACCTATGATATTAAGATCATTGGGGGAGGCCTACTCTCAGTCCCACCACTTTCACAGATGCATCTGATGGGAATGAGAGATGGGGCCTTCTCAGTGGTGAACCCTTGGCTGTGGAACTCCATCCCAGTGATATTAGAGCAGCTTCCTCTCTCCTGGCCTTCAGATGTAAAGTGAAAACCTGGCTCTGGGGTCAAGCCTTTGGTCCAGATCCATCATTGTTTGAGTCCACAGTGCTCTCTGGATGTAGGTGAACTACAACTCCCAAACTCAAGGTCAATGCCCACCAAACCCTTCTAGCGTTTTCTGTTGGTCATGGGAGTTCTGTGTGCCAAGTTTGGTTCAATTCCATCATTGATAGAGTTCGGAATGCTCTTTGATTGTACGTGAACTATAAATCCCAGCAACTACAACTCCCAAATCATGTTTTGAGTTATGGTCACTCCTTGTGTTGTGAGACTTTTGTTGCCAAAATTTGGTGTGATTTCGTTCATTGGTTCTTTTGTTTTTAAGGTACTCATTATGCACAGAGCATTTGTATATATATAGATTATTATTATAATGTTTATATGTTTTAATGTGCATTTAACTCTAATTTTAAATTTTAACTTAAATGTATTGTACTTAAATGTATGTCTTATGTAAAGTCGCCTTGAGTCCCCTTCAGGGTAGAGAAAGGCAGGATATAAATAGATTAAATAAATAATAAATAAATAAATTACCAGGATTTTCCATTATTGGCTATGCTGGGCATTGTTGTTGGGAGTTGCAGTCCAACCGCATCTGGAGAGCCACATGAATCCCACCCCAATCTATAGTACTTTGCGGTGCCTCTCTGAGTTTTCAGGTAGGATGCTTTCTTACCTTGGGATGTAGGAGATTGAGCTGGCAAACCATTCAGGTGCCCCATTATGGGTATAAATCTCCCCCTCCTAGTGTACGCTTTAAGAGACTAGAACATTTGTTGGTACAAATTGCTTCCTGGAAAAGGAAGCTTTCCAGAACGTCGGGGAATAACTAGATTGTGTTTCTGCTCGCATGAAGCAAATGTTTAATGGATTCACAAAATCTGGCTAGTAAACTGAGTGGGTGTACTTTGACAGCGTCATGTACCATTCAATGGCATCTGCTGTGCAAACCAAAACAAACTGTTATTAAGACTCCTTTTTCTTCTCTTTCTCTCTCCTTCCCTCCTTTCTTTCCCTCTTCATTTGCCCATTTTAGTCTTTTACATCCATCTCTCTCTCATGCCAGGGGCCGCCGTCCGTCTCGGAGCAGGCTACAACCACTCTAAGCCGTGTAAGTAAGCTACCAATGTTTCAAGAATTTGTTGTCATATCTGTGTTGGTATTTGCAACCCACCAAACTCAAGGTAGAACGTTGTCTTGAAACCTCTGTGAAGCAAAATATTTTTGTTGTTATTTGCTATCAAGTCAGGCTCGAATTATGGTAGCCCTGTGAATGGAAGACCTTGAAGAGCCCCTCTCCTCAGGTCTTCCAAATTCAGGGCCATGAGTTACCATATATACTCAAGTATAAGCAGAGTTTTTCAGCCCTTCTTTTTTGGCTGAAAAAGCCCCTTTCAGCTTATACTCAAATCAAAGTTATTTATTATTTTGCTCTATTATTATTATTATTATTATTATTATTATTATTATTATTATTATTATTACATTTATTGTTTTACTCTTGTTGTTATTATTGTTATTATTACACTTATTATTTTACTCTATTATTACATTTATTATTTTACTCTATTATTATTACATTATTTTACACTATTTATTATTATTTTATTACATTTATTATTTTACTTTATTATTATTGGTAGGATACGTAAGCACATTGAAGAAGGTGAGAATAATATTGTCGAAGGCTTTCATGGCCGGAATCACTGGGTTGTTGTAGGTTTTTTTCGGGCTGTATGGCCATGGTCTAGAGGCATTCTCTCCTGACGTTTCGCCTGCATCTATGGCAAGCATCCTCAGAGGTAGTGAGGTCTGTTGGAACTAGGAAAAAGGGTTAATATATCTGTGGAATGACCAGGGTGAGACAAAGGACTCTTGTCTGCTGGAGCTAAGTGTGAATGTTTCAACTGACCACCTTGATTAGCATACAATGGGCTGACTGTGCCTGGAGCAAACTTTTGTTGAGAGGTAATTAGATGTCCCTGCCTGCTTCCTCTCTGTTGTTGTGGAGGAGAGAAGGCCTCTAGACGATGGCCCAAAAAAAACCTACAACTGGTCAGAGCATGGTCCAGAGTGACTCCCAGATATTTGGGTGCGCTGCAATGCTCCAGTGGGATTCCTTCCCGGGTGATCCTCAGAGCTCGGGATGCTTGTCTGTTCTTAAGGTGAAAAGCACATGTCTTTCAAAGTGCTTTCTCACAAGTAAACAAAAACAAGCATTTTTCAACAGGAGTCTGCCAAGGAGATCCTTGCAGCAGTGATCCCAAGCAGAAAAGATAGCAATGCCAAATCACGTTAGAGGAGAAGAAATAAAAATGGTGCTGATTGAGATTTGGGGTGTGGACAGCAATACCATTTCAGTGCGGGATATGTGGTGCTAACACAGTGAATCCGGGGCTGAATAATCTTGATTACAGCTGGGCTGTTTTGATGGTGTAAATAAGATCCTATTTAGTCGTTTCTTTATTCCACGGTGTCTTTTCCTTTGTGCTTTGGCTCACTGTGCTCTCCCACCCACAGATGAAAAGACCGCCCTGCCTTGCAAAAAAGAACAACTTCAGTGTGGCAATGGACCCTGCTTGATGAACTGGCTGCGTTGCCGCTACAAGAAGGACTGTGGCAAAGACAATGTGTCGATCACAGTGGCATGTTCAGGTGAGCAATTCTTTGGGTGGTTTAGTGCAGGGGTATCAAATTCATTTTAAATTCAGAATGCTCTATGGCATTCATAACCATTTTGAAAAGAAAAAATGATGTCATATCCTTTTGGCAAATGTGAATCTCCATGAATATCTCAAGACTGCCTTTGAAAACCACTAGTCAAGGAAAGGCATGACCTTGTTAGAAGCCAACCCTCTGAAAAAGCGATGTTCACAAGCATTCATGTAATGGCACACAGGTAACACTGCTGTTAAACTGATAAGCCATGTCTTTGAACTGCTATGGACAAAGACATGCCACTGCACCAAAAAAAATTATTTATTTATTTACTGTATTTGTATACCGCCTTTCTCAGCCAATTGGTGACTCAAGGTGGTTTCCAACAAATCAGTATACATAAAACGTAATAGATGAAAAACATTAAACAGTATAAGAACATCACAAAAACAATAAAAGCAACATCATCAGCATCTCATTATTCTCAAGCATTGTCCAATTCCATTGTTGGGTAATCCGATTTCCTATATTAGCTACTCTGTATTTGTAAACGCTTGCTCGAATAGCCACGTTTTAACTTGCCTCCGAAACGTCAAGAGGGAGGGAGCAGATCTGATCTCCCTAGGGAGGGCATTCCATAGCCGAGGGGCCACAACTGAGAAAGCCCTGTCTCTCGTCCCCACCAAACGTGCCTGTGACAAAGGCGGGACCGAAAGTAGGGCCTCCCCAGACGATCTTAGAGTCCTCGATGGTTCGTAAGGGGAGACAGGTTTGGACAAGTAAGTTGGACCAGAACCATTTAGGGCTTTATAGGCCAAAGCCAGCACTTTGAATTGGGCCCGGTAGCAAACTGGCAACCAGTGGAGCTCGGGCAACAAGGGGGTTGTATGCTCCCTGAGCGCCGCTCCTGTTAACAACCTGGCTGCCGTTCGTTGGACTAGTTGAAGCTTCTGGACCGACTTCAAAGGCAACCCAATGTAGAGAGCATTGTACTGCAATGCTCTCTACGTTGGGTTGCCTTTGAAGTCGGACTACTGGTCTATACGGGATGTAACCAGAGCTTGGACTACCATGGCCAAGTCAGACTTCCCAAGGTACAGGCGCAGCTGGCGCACAAGTTTTAACTGTGCAAATGCTCCCCTGATCACCGCCGAGACCTGAGGTTCCAGGCAGCGACGAGTCCAGGATCACACCCAAGCTGCGAACCTGCGTCTTCAGGGGGAATGTAACCCCATCCAGCACAGGCTGTAACCCTATGCCCTGTTCGGGCTTGCGACTGACCAGGAGTACCTCTGTCTTGTCTGGATTTAAAATGTTTAGTCACTATCTTGACTATCTTGATAGTGACTAAACTGGGAGTTGTGATACAGCCTTCCAGATATGGCTGTATCACAACTCCCATCAGCTGTAGTTATGATGTCTAATGGCGAGGAATACAGGAGTTGTAGTTTAGCATCTGGAGAGTGACAAAAAAGGGCCTGGAGTGACAGATTTGGCCTGAGATCTTGAATTTGACACATGTGGTTTAATGAAATTGTTTGTGGCTCATCATATTTTAGCCATTACCTCTATCTAGCTATCTTATTTATTTATTTATCTTTCTTTCCTTCCATACAAACCTGGCCCAGAATCATGATAGGCAACTAGGCTACTTTAAAAAAATTACACACAGGAATGCACTTTCTTAGCTGTTGTCAAAGTGTGACCATAAGTCCAATCATTTGCTTTGCAAGCACACACACAGCACTCACATTGGCTTGTGACTAATAGATATGGAACTATTTGAGAATGGATGTACACTGCTCTATATCTTAGGATCTGATACCAGATTATCTGACAGTGTGGATAAATATAATCCAGTTCAAAATAGATAATCCGGGATCAAATCCTGGGATATAGAGCAGTGTAGATCCAGCAGGTTGAAGCACTAAGCTGCTGAACTTGCTGACCAAAAGGTTTGTGGCTCAAATCCAGGGAGCAAGGTGAGCTCCTGCTGTTAGTCCCAGCTTCTGCTAACCTAGCAGTTCAAAAACATGCAAATGTGAGAAGATCAGTAGGTACTGCTTCTGCGGGAGGGTAACAGCACCCGCTGGCCACATGACTTTGGAGGTATCTACGGACAACACCAGCTCTTTGGCTTAGAAATGGAGATAGCACCAACCCCCAGAGTTGGACACGACTGAACTTAATGTCAAGGGGTAACCTTTACCTTTACCTTAGATCCAGCCTAACGTATCATGTAACATGCTAGCATTTTTTTTGCTATGTTAAACATGTAGAATATTGATCATAGTTTCATGTGGAGTGGGCAAATTTATGTACCCATTCAGTTCCATAGAGGGAGAGGGAGATTGCAAATGGTCAGGAGATATAAGAAGTATTCTGTGACAATCTAATTAAAGTGGAATGCAAAGCAAGCACAGTAACTGTTAGCAACCCTAGTAATTGACTATTGTGCCCTAGTAATTGACTATTATGTTATTACATAATTACACTATCTTTTGGAGAAATAATACCGTATATACGGTATATAATACCGTATATACTCGAGTATAAGCCGACCCGAATATAAGCCGAGGCACCTAATTTTTCCACGAAAAACTGAGAAAACGGATTGACTCGAGTATAAGCCGAGGGTGGGAAATGCAGCAGCTAAGGTAAATTGCAAAATAAAAATAGATACCAATTAAATTACATTAATTGAGGAATCAGTAGGTTATATGCTTTTGAATAATTACAAAAATGGTAATTTAGGATAAGACTGTCCAACTCTGATTAAATGATTATTTACCTTCTTCAATGTAAATTTGCTTACGTATCCTTCCAATAATAATGAGAGCAACATAACAAATGTAATAATAACAATAATAAAAAGAGTAAAATAATAAATGTAGCAAGAACAACAATTATACAGTAAAATAATAAATGTATAATAGAGTAAAATGATAAATGTAATAATAATAAATAGAATAAAATAATAAATGAAATAATAATAATAATAATAATAATAATAATAATAATAATAGAGTAAAATAATAAATAACCTTGACTCGAGTATAAGCCGAGGGGGACTTTTTCAGCCTAAAAAAGGGGCTGAAAAACTAGGCTTATACTCGAGTATATACAGTATATTTCCCAGAACAAAACAACATTGACAGCTCATTTTTATAATGTGGCTTCGAGTGAGGTTATTGGAGTAGACTTGCAAAAGAGTGATACAGGTTGAATGATGTTTTATTAAAAAAATCCCAAAGTGATTTTTTTAATAAAACATCATTCAAGTGGCTTTGCATATGAGGAGGGAACAAGTTTGCTTTCTGGAGCAATGGATTCAAAGTGCCAGGAAAGAGATTCCACCAAAACATAAGGAAAAACTTTGTGATGATAAGTGTTCTGGAACGGGTGTTCCAGGGGCTCCAAATTTGTGTTTTGCACTGAGTGTTTGTTCATAGTCCTAAGTTACAGGGACTTTGCAGATAGGTGGCTTCCTTTGGCTGCATTCATAGGGCAAGCCACCTGCCAATTATAGTTAGGATCCCTGGTCCCGCCCCCTTTTTTGCCTTTTGGAGGGAAGGGGCCATTTTTCAGTTAGTCACAGCAAGGGAAGCCAAGGCAGAGGATGCGTACAGACGTTCCTCCTGTGCAAAGGCTTCGTCTTTTAAGAGTTCCTGGGGAAGAATAGATTAAAGGCCTCTACGGATTCCCAAAGGGTTCCAGGGAACAGCTTTACAGCCCTGAGGACCTCCGGAGGGAATAACAGCTCTTCATCTTCAGCTAAGTGATTTCAAGCCTGATGGTACGTCTGTTCGGTTCAGCCGGTAGCAGACTCAAACCAGTTAGGTTTAAGTTCACAGCAGCCTGGGAGGAGCTTTAAAGGGGAATTTTTCTGTTAAACAAAGTTTATTGAAGATAGTGCCTGTTTCTTGTGAACAAGACTGCAAGACCCAGTAGACTATTTAGAAATCTTACAATTCCTGCTTGTTCATTAATAAAGACTGTTGTATTTAAGTTCAAGTCTCCTAAAGTCTGCTTAGTAGGGAAAGTTCCTCTAAAGGCTCCTTCTCGGGCCCCCGGGCTTCCCGCTGGACGCTAGCCTTGCATCCTCTCTTAAAGCATTTAATTTTAGCTCCAGCGGCCACAGAACAGTAAGAGCTATTCAACAGTGGAATATGCTTCTTTCTCTGGAGGTTTTACGTAGAAGTTGGATGGGCATCTTTCAGGAGTGTTTTGATAGTGTTTTCCTGCATGGCAGGGGGTTGGATGTGATGGTCCTTGAGGTATTTTCCAACTTTGTGATTCTGTGGTTCTATATGAGTGTTTTCTGGAAATAGAAACCTTTAAAAATATATCTTACTAATGGTAGCAGAGTGAATTACCTCTATCTCTTACATGTCTCTGGTGACTGTTGTTGCCCTAGTTCCCAGAAAAGCATATTGATCTCTCTGTACATCTGTTTCCAGAAGACTGTACACCACAGTTCTCATTTGATTCAGCACTTGCTCCAGTCACTGCACAAAGCTGTATTTGTATTGGCTTTTCCTTCATGCTGATTTCAATTATAATGGTCATCACTATGAACCAGGGGAAATAAAATCCAGGCTTGGCAACATATATTTAAATTTATAGTAGAGAGTTCAACATTACGTAATATTGATCTTATTTTTCCCTGGATCTGTTTTCTCTTTTTCCTGTCTAATTCTTTTTTTCCCCATGTATTTCATACTTATTTGCTTCTCCATTTGGTTAAGATTATTTGTGTGTGTGATTGTTATAAACTGAAATGCTGGTGTGGGGAGAAACAGATGCAAAAATGCAGAAAAACAATCACACAGACTTCTTTTTTACATTGCAAACAGATGTGGAAATGGGTTGGAATGAACCTAAATGGGGTCAGTGGGAATTTTAGAGAAAAAAAATACTTTTAGAGAAAACAAAAGGCAGGGATAAATCCAGCATTTAATGAGGAAAAGGGAAGCTACAGGGAGTACCTAAGCAAA